GCAATTAGGATCCATGAAACAATGTATTTGTCTGCTTCATGTTGTATTCTTTTTACTAGCATGGATCTAACAAATAATGCCCAAATAATAATTTTTGTTGAAATTATTAAACTTATGTAATAAAATAGCAATGTAAGTATCTCCATAACAAAATGTTCAAAATAAATAAATGTTCCTTCAGTGAGTTACACAATCTATTAAAGTTGTGACATAATAGTAGATACTCTTTCATAAATATTATGATATTAAGATAAAAACACTTTTTTCTGTAATTATGAGTAATTAAAAAGTAGAATCATATGGATTGAGAAGAATTTGTCCCTGGTGCTGATCTTAGTCATTTTCTCATCAAGGAAGTGTCTTTTTGCAGTGGATGGAAGTCATTACAGAAACCGCAACTAGTCAAACAACAGAAGTTAACCAATTGTGGGGTATCCACCCTAATCAGTGTACTTACATCTCCCAACTTAGGCTCTGAGAACAGTGAAGAGGAGGAGGCAGCAAGATTGCAGAAGCCAGTGGGCCAAGACAGATGCTGAGAGATCGTCCCTTCTAACAGCCACTACAACAAAGAGAAAATCTAACAGGTGAGTAGAAGAGGGGGTTATAAGGGAGGGGCTGGGAACAGAAAGACAGTGAATATTGTAAAGATATATTGAAAGAAAATTTTTAAATATAATGAAATATTATTGAACAAAATTAGGCATAAAAGGTGTTACATGTCAAAAATATTATTCTTTAATATATGATTTCCCCTTACGATCCAATATTATGTTATATATAATGTCGACAATTAGAGGTTAAGTTTCAGTCTCCGCATTAATACTAGAAAAAAAGTTTGAGGTTGTTGTTGTGTGGTTTATATTGAAAAGGTTTTGTTTTGGTTAGTTAATGGTGAGACCATACTATATTTGTATATAAAACTACATCTATAGGGACTGGAGAGATGGCTCAGAGGTTAAGAGCATTGTCTGCTCTTCCAAAGGTCCTGAGTTCAATTCCCAGCAACCACATGGTGGCTCACAACCATCTGTAATGGGGTCTGGTGCCCTCTTCTGGCCTGCAGGCATATATANCATCTATAATATGTAACAGTTTTGTGTCTATTGTAAACTATTGTTTTCACACGATATAAATCGATATAAATTCAGCATTAAACATGTATGAGAAAATAATGTTCATAAAATAATAAAAGATAATATTAGAGATGTATAATATTTTAAGGGAATTTAAAAGTATCACAAAAATATTTCCTAATATTCTTATGGGTCATGTGTTTAGGTTCAGGCTATAAAATTACATGTTTAAAATATCAGTCCTTTTAAATGACAATTAAGAACTTTAAACTTTGGTTTCTAGTGATGTAATGACAAAATATTTTTTTCAATTCTGGCTTTATTTTTACCTAAATTACCAATAACAGTGTTTTGTAAACTGTTTTTTATTTAAGTACAAATATTCTTACTTTTGGAGAACATTCTACTGAAAAAAAAATCAATGCTTTTATGTAAAATTATTGTCAAACAGAGTTCAAAACATTTTTAATGAAATATGTATGTGTTTGTGTATGTGACATAGAAACATCCCCATTTATTGTCCCGGTTCAGTCAGCATGCATCTATTGTGCATGTAGAACGGGCAACGCATATTGAGAAGACTTTATCAGAGTTGACAATTTTCCAAAATAACATTGGTATTTGTGCATTTTCTTGAAATTATTGATTTAAAAATCTTTACTGCTAGACTCTGTAGCTGAAATAGCTGTTTTATACATGAACACATATTCTTTGTTTACCATTCCAAAACTGTTGGACCAGTAAAATTTCCAACATGGAGTGGGAAGGGATATTATATGCCCTACCCCAGGCTTAGAAACTATTACCAACTGACTGCCACCAACTAAGAAAAAATAACTTTGCTTTGGGATGGTGGCCACCTCACTAGTTAACTCTATATCCATCCACATATGGGCCACACTAAATGAACTAAGTGGAAATCTTAAAAACAAGAGGCTATGCACTGAAGATGGAAACAGGAGGAAGGTAGGGAAACTGGAGGCATAGAAGTAAGTAAAGGCATGACCAAACAACAGAGTATATTTGTATGAAAATTTCAAAAGATAAACTGAGTTTATTATTCAGTACAATTCACTTGAGAGTTTATGCTACCCTTAGTTTAGTGGTATTATCGTCTTGATTGGGCATTGAAACAGAAAGTAAGGCAGAAAGAAGCTAAGTAGACAGACCCCAGTGTTAGAAGCATGCATTTTCTTTTGTTCTGCTTTTGAGGGAGAGTCTTGAACTGACTCCACTATTAGACTCAGACCCATAATAATAGTTTTTCTTTAGACTCCCAAGTGCTGGGATTGTAGACTTAAGCCATCACTCACAACTGTAGTGCAAATAAAAATCACATTCTGACTGAAGAACCTGTATATTAAGTCTCTGTGCATAGTATTGCAGTTTCTGAAAACATTTAATAGCAGGAGTGAAAGAAAAGGAAAGAAAAGAAAAGAAAACAAAAAAGAAATGCATATGCAATTCGAGCACAGCAGGGAAACCCTAGAAATGCCTTCCGATTCCAGATTTTTTTCTCACGAATCACAAATGCTTTTCTGCTGTGACTGAATAGTGGAAACTGGTCACAGACACATCACTAGTCTTATCAGTGAAACCATACTTTATTATCAGAGCACATTGATCGTACCTTTAGAACTAACATCATAACCTGCATTTATACTCTTCATTGTATCAAATAACTGATACTCTTTAAGTGTGTTCCAATGATGTTTTTAAAACAGGCCATTTGGCATTAGTTTTAATTTTTATGTTTTGTTATTGTAAACGACATTGTCAAAAAGTGCAATGATGTCAACTTTAGACATCATCAGAAGTCACTACAGTCAGATTCTTCTAGACTGGATATGTTGAGCAAATGCATTTGTCTTTTTTCTTCATTCTTTTTTTAAAATAAAATATATATTTTATTTAGTTGTTTGATATTACAATACATGATGATATACATACTTACATATACATATGCACACATACATATTTTTTCCTCCTGCCAAACTCTCTCATGTACCATACCTTGCTTTCTTTCAAATTCATGGCCTTTTATATATTCCCATATACATAAATACAACCTTCTGCATCATGCTATTTGCATGTATGTTTTCCAAGATGATCATTTGTTGTACAACCCACTAGTGCGGTTGATCTTCCATGGAGAAAATTTCTCCTGCTTTCAGTATGCTTTAGTTGGCTCTAGTTCCTTGTGTAGGGATGAGGCCTCCTGGGCTTCTCTCTGTTGTAATCCATTTTCTGTCATGTTTAGTTGGCAATTTTACCTAAATTTCTGTGAACTATAAATCCACTGAGGCCAGAAGATGTTGGATCAGCTGGACCAATGGTTACAGGTTGCTATGATGAGTTGGGTGCTGGAAACCTAACTCTGGTCTTTTTCTGACAGTAGCATGTATTCTTAAATGTTGAGCCATATCTCATGCCCTGAGCTTTATAATTATATTAAAAATCACTAAGTACGGTTGATAAATTGTTAAGTGTTTAAGATGTACTAAATAATAAAGATGTTAAATTTCATATTTTATTAAAATTATTATTTTTTTATGTGTTGTATGTTGAAGACCCTCTTTTTCATGCTTCTCAACTTCCCATTAGTCAATGTTGTCCTTGTAGACAGATTGATTTCTACCTTTATGAAATTTATGGATACATTATTTAAATGTCATTTCTCCTCTCTACAGAGAACTTATTACATAGCACATTTAAGAATAAGCTATTGTTCTGAGAAACTGCATCCCCTTTGATAAAACTGTGTAGTTGTCTTCATTAAGACATTATCCATAGCATACTTGTTGTACTAGACAGTAAATAAAAATTTTAATCACCATAAAGGTATTTAAATCATGTAACATTGGAGCTAATAATATTTACATCTTCAAATGTCAATCCAAAGACCTCAAAAATTAAGCTGTAAAAAACTGGAGCAAATGTGTTTTCCAGGCTGATCAATTGCTATTGAATAAGCAATTGGTGAGTTCTTCCCTGGGGAAGACTATTTCTCTTGCTCTCAACTTTAGCTGCTTTTGCTAGTAGTATTCTGTGTTGGAGTTGAGGCCTCCTGGACTTTTCCCTATGAAATACATACTGTCAAATTCTCTCTCCTTTTTTAAAAGCATTTATTTTTTGCAGCGTCTACTATTTACTTACATCATAAATTAAAGTTCCCATTCCTTCTACAATTACCCAGTGAGTATATGCAAGTCTAGTTCCTAAGTGCCACCGTAGCAGAGATATTGGAGAAACTTTAACCCATACACTGAACTCCAAACAACAGTTAGGCAATGAACTTACTAAATTAGTTTACTTCCTTGCTTTTAGGAAATGTGGAAAATATATCTCAAAAGAGTATCAATATAAACTACTTTGAAAAATAGTCAATGGAGCATAGAACTGGGCTGGGACAGACTGCTAGCCTTGGCAAATAGTTAGCATTTCTAGACAGGTCAACGCATATAGAATGAACTAGATGGAGCTGCATGGAGATGCTTTGTGTCACAGTTCTCTGCTCTTCTGCAGTGGGTGGTGGGATGATACTCAATCTCCAAAAAGTCAAAAAAGAAACAAAGCAGACTGTTCTAGTCTCAGAGGCCACGAGCCTCACCTGGGCTGTATCACTCATGCAAAATCTGCACATTATTTAAGGTGTGGGTCATATCATCTCTAAATTAGGCTCCTCAACCCCAAATGTACATTTCTTTTAATTTCCACACTTCAATCATTTTAAGTTCTCAACCTTTTTCACATTTAAAAATTTGATATGTTGTTCGAGTTCTCTGAATTTCGAATAAGAAAAAGTTGTTAAATATCCTAAATACCAACACATCCTGTTCCTGACTCCTTTTTCACCTGTAGGTGACCACTGTCTATCTGAGCCGATAAACTTAATCTCTGGTACTTAACACACGGCATACTTACAATGACTATTCTTTATCAATCGCCAAAGTTCATGGTGGTAACTTTGAAATAGTTGTTGATAGTGTGGTCATTTCATCCAACTGCAACAGAAGAATTTAGTGAGTGTTTGAAGTTTGTGTGTGTGTGTGATTATACTATTTGACAATTATACATTTTATTAAGATAAGGTTAAATACAAATAGAAAGGAGTCAACATTACCTCATGAATGGGGTGATTATCCGTAATCAACCAACTTTGAAGCTTTCTCCACAGGCAGGAGGAGCAATCAGCTCTGTTCTTATGTCATTATCAGCAGAGTTGCACTTCTGGAGGATTTGAAATTGCTGATGTTTGCATAGTTGAAGATAGAGAGCAAAGCTTGTTTTCCCACTAACATTTCATTGATTGCTTGTTCTTCCCTGATCGTTTCTGACACTTTATCTCTCTGGCAGCTGGACTTTTTACCTGGCTGATGTGGAGTGGTTTCATTAGAATCTCATTGATTTTGCAATCGACAGGATTCAAAGCTAGTATGTGCCTCATAATTTATATTTCTTTCTTCTCTCACTGGATGGTGTCAGAATAATTAATTCTGTATTTAAATGACAGCAATGTGAAATGGTCAAACCAGTTGCAATGAAATATTTGTTCCTTATATAAAAAAAATTCCCAACATCATTCCTTGTCAAAATTTATCTTACAAAAATTGATTATTAAAAGAAGTTACGAAAGTTTATGTAATTCCCTTCAGAAGTTAAACAATGCTTTTCCAAAGGGAAGACAATATTACATCATGCAACTCAAACAGACTCATGAATAATTTTTTGACTCTTCGCTTAATTAACGTTTTCCCCCCCCAGTAAACCATAGTTTGTGTCTATGTAGCTAACACTTCTTAACTATGAATTCTTAGCTCTGTGTGCATGCATCTATTTATTTCTGCCCCTGAAGTTTTTCATGATGATTTTCTAGCATTTAGAAAATTTTTTTGGTTCTTTTCTTCATGAAAAATGATTTTAAAGTCAAAATTACAACTTGATACATGTAGTAGTTCTGTTTTTTTTTTTTTTATCAAATTCAATATACCTACTGCCCTATTGAAAGAAAAATACAGCATGTTTGACTTTCCATAAGAAAACCCTAAAGAAAGTCCTAAGTGAAATCCACTGGCCTATTATTTTGTTGCCCATGGGATTTAATAACCATGTGGAAAGCATTGTTCAGAGAACTAGTGGGGGGCCCCTTCAGGTGAAATCTGAAAGGTACTGGCAAGGCAGAATGGGAACCTCCTCTCCCTATTCATCTTTAATCTCTTTCTTTCAAGAACACCAAATTCATAGCTTTGAGTTGATTAAATTAAAAATTCAATTAAATACATATTTTAAAGTGGGCATACTTGCTTTCAATGGAAAAGCATCTTTTGAAATACAATCAGTTTTCAGAAGTAATATTTGGTGTGTATAGCTGTTGCTATTTTCTATAAATTATTTAGCATGTTTTAAATTAGAAAATTTAATACATACTCCAGAGATCAAAGGACCAATAGCTAAAAGCTGAATAAGAATATCGTCATACAATTTTCTATTATTCTGTTACACTGAGGATGAAAGACTATCAAGACCACTGTTACCAAAGAAAATATCCTTTTATCATTTTCAAGTATGTTTTTATACCTTTCTACTTCTACTATTCAGTATACTGCATACTTCTCCTTATGTATGTTTAATCAAACACATAGATAATAAATAATTTCTAATATTATTTTAGCAAAATGACTTACATCTCTAATATTAAAAATATTGCTTAAACTATTTACGTTTTATCTTTAATAAAGACATCATGAAATGTATACATATATATATAATGTATATAAAATTAGAAGACTTTTTTCCATGATCTTAAGTCTTTTGGTTAATAGGTTATGCAAAGCAACTTCTAATATTACGTGTTATGAAGCCTATATGTGAGCTTTATGCTTTAAAGATGCAAATTAAGCATAATAATTTTCATAGTAAAATACAAAGTCAAATAACTGCAACAATATCATAGATTTTACTTGAGGTATTTTTTCTCAGAGCTAAAGCATTTAAGATTACAAAGACTGTTATAGGTAAAAAGAATCCTAAAAAAACATTTCCTAGTCAGCCACCTTCAAGAAGGAGACAAAGTTCTAGATTTTATAAACCCCTATCAATGATTTGGATTATTGTAAAATCTAAATTAAATACATTACAGACTGAGTCGGGAGATATTCTAAAAATTACAACTAAAATTTGAACAAATAACTTTTTTCAGTGTTTTAATTCCTGGTGATAAGCATATCACTTAGATTTCTGTGAACTCAGTGAATATTTATGAATTTTAGTTTTGGTGATTAGTATGTGGTTTCTGTAAAATATTGTCCAAGCAGACGCCAAAGTTAAAGCTTCATGCATTACGCAGTTTGAGCCTCTTGCAGACTGTACCACCTTCAGCACACTATACTTAAGACTTAGCCAAGGGATTACAGGGAGTTTCTGTAATTATCGTCTTAAGAGCCACAGATGATTTGTACATTCCAGACCAGCCAGGGTAGGGCGTTCTCTCCTGGAGTTTAGAGGCATTGATTTGTATATTTTGTGGATTCATTTTCATTAGTTTCAAATACAAGGTGGACATGTCTTGCACAGTAGCTGAAGTAGAGAGTTTTATATCTACAAGTCAATTTTTTGTTTGCTAGTACTAAGTACTGTAAAAAGAGATGATTTTTGACAATTTCTTAGTTCATGCCAAGACAATAGAAACACAATTTTAGTTAAAAATATAAGGGCACTGGAAAATTTTCTAGCCAAAGATCATTTGAATAGATGAGAGATTTTGATTATATATACTTTTAAATCATTAAGCTGATGATAGATGCAGTACAAAATCTTTCTGCAAACCAGCTATTATGATATGATTAAAAGTTCTATATTTTATGCTTAAAGATGGTGCATGGTTTAAGACTGTATGAACTTCCCACAGGTCAGGGAACCCTGATTGCTCTTTGGGCTGATGAGAGAGGGGGACTTGATTGGGGAAGGAGGAGGGAAATGGGAGGCAGCGGTGGAGAAGAGACAGAAATCTTTAATAAATAAATAAATAAATAAATTATAAAAAATTCAAATTGATTTCATACAATTTTTATATTGTTTATCTAGTATACGCCAACAAGATTTGCTGATTCAAAACTCGTAAAAGGATTTTTAAGCCTTACCTGTACATGAATAATGTTTTGAGAAATAATAAATGTAGTATTTGGTTAATACATTAATTTCATATAAGAAGGAATGTTTTATATACTTACATATTAAGTACCTATAAGTTCCATATAAAAACACAATATAACTTTCAGGTATAGGGCCTATTCTTAATGAACAATGCAGTTCTTTTAATATTGCAATTCTTTTAATGTTGTGTAATGATCAATTTTAATTGACACTAAATAATTTTATAGATTTTAACACAAAGTATGACAGTCAAATGCTAAATTTTTAATATTTATTTTGATGTGTGATTCCGGTAATGCTTGAGAAAAGTATTTTGATGGGTGTGTCTTTAAAGAACCCTATCTCATCTCATGAATAAGACGTGGCTGCTTGTCATAAAAGTGTGAGCAAATAAGTTAAAGTTCTCCTTTTGTCTCTTGTCCTTACAAAAGGATGCTGGGACAGTTAGTTCCTGAATTTTGAAAATGATTGTAAATGGCGATACCATTCCAGTTCTGATTCTTAAAAGCTAGCATACTGAGCAGGAGAAATGCCTCAGTGCTTAAGAATACTTGCTGCTTTTGGAGAGGGCCTGGTTTCAATATCCAGTACCCACATAGCATCTCACGACAGCCTGTAAGTCAGCTCAAGGAATCTGATATCTTTCCCCTGACATTGAAGTCATCGACCCTCATGTAGAGCACAGAGTCTCAATTATACTCTCACAATACACTTTTTTTTTATTTAAAAATGAGCATATTATTTTATAGATATTCTCAGGCTTTCTCTTTCATAAGACATGCGTATTTTCAGAGTCAGGAGAGATCATAGGCACTTCTGGTCTTAGGCCTTCTGTCTCACACATACACACACACACACACACACACACACACGCACGCACGCACACACGCACGCACGCACGCACTAGAGATGCCAACGGATTGCTGTGTCAATGCCCCTAGAATGAACCAACACTCACTCCATCAGTTTAGTGCTTGGTTTTGTTTGGTTGTTGGTTTACCTTCATGGTATAAAACATATTTACTAAACCTTGTCTGACATCCAAAAGGTGTCTTTTATAAAGAGTTAAAATGACAATTAGATTTAAATAAACCACCTTTCCTTTTCTTTCTTTAACTTCCGGTGTCCCGGTTAGTTTTCTTCCATGCCAAGCTTGAACATCTAGAAGCAGTGCTCAGAGGAGCCCTTCCTAAAGACAGAATAATTTTGATGTCAGGCTTTATGTAAATGCCTGTTGAAGATTCTACGCATTTGTTTAGAATTTCAGTGAGATCTTAAGATGTCAGCTAATTTCCTAAAATAACAACAATGAAATTGAAAGTCGGAATTTCGAAGAGAATTGGTGTGATTTTCAGTGTTATAGAGAGCTGAGTAGGGAACAGAAAGAATATATATTTATGCGGTGCTCAGCCCATCCCCTTCAGTGACTTTGGCTTATGAACATCCATATTTCTTATGGAATGTTCAGTATAAATGGTCAATCTTTATCAAAGCATGAGGACTGATAGGGTCTAATATACACAGACTTTATTTGTGTTATGTATTTCTGTGTGTTTGCTCAAGGACCAGTCTCATATCTGTCATCTTTTCTACCAATCAGTATTGCCTCCCTCAAAGTCCCTTACATTAAAACTCCTGTCCCCAGAACCCAGCACCCACTGACCCTTTTGTTTTCACTTCAGTGTTGCCTTGCTAGTGAGTGCTGTAATTAGCACAGTGTGCTAAAAGCCCCACTTTAGTAGCCTGGTGTTTTGTATAAAGACCACAGTGTTTTTATTCAGTCACTCAGGAGGGGACATGTCAGATACTTGCAGTTTTTCATGAAGCCATCACAGTCATTTCTTAGGAGGCTTTGCTGTGTATGCAAGATTCCACTGTTTTTGGTATATACATAGGAATACAGAAGCTAGACAGTGTGGTGAGGCTACGTATTGCTTATGTAACTACCCAAATTTTTTCAAAGTAGCTATACTATTTAGAATTCCTGTTCTACCAGCAGTGAGGGCTTCTAAACCTTCCAGATCAGAACTCATTTTTGATGTCAATGTTCTGCATTTCAGTTACT